GGTTTCTGCTCTCTACCTAACTACCCATTTTATGTCTTCAGAATGAAAACAATGGACTTTACACAGGAGATGGTTCAGTGAACATTAAGGGGGAACCTGTGTTGAAGAGCAACATTGGGAATTGGAGAGCATGCCCCTTCATTCTTGGCAGTTACTACTTCAACAATGTCTATAATTCTTAATGTTTTTGATATTCCATCTTTTTTCTTCAAACTTCGTTGAATATAAAAAAACAGGTACTGAATGCTGTGAACGCTTAGCTTATTATGGGATTGCTACTGTTAATGTACACTAAACCTAACCCACTAACCTAACTCCACTACTCCATTACACACCCCACTTCACCTACTACATTCACCAACGCCTCCCACCTCCACTATCACCTTCACCTACTCTCAATCCTCTCCTATATAAGCTGCCTTCTCTACAATTTATTTCATTGTAAGTATGAAATGAAGTTGTCATTGTGCTCAAATCTTAGTGCCTTCATGAATAATTGGATGACAATGGATGAACAACCTCAGTTTTTTCACACTGGCTTGAACCTTCTTTGTATTGGACATGTAGTGCATCATCTTATAGTTTTCTGCTCAAACCATGTTTGTAGTTTGAATGATCTTTAGCTTCCAATTACGTATTACCTACAGCATTTTGTTGAACAATCTCTTCGTACTATTGGTCATGGTTCTATTATAGAGGTGTGTGACTTACTAATTATTGGGTGGTAATGAGGTTATTTTGGAGCATTTCCATTTAGGATATTTTAGTATTCCAGAAATTTACTGCTTGTGACCATCTCTATTCAAGGTAATGGTTTGTAGGAGTTTGATATATTTTTTATTTTTTTCCAATTCAGTAAGAAAAAATGTCAATTAAAAATTTATAATCATAGCTATTTCCTAGATTTACCTCTTATTGTCAGTTAATGATTGAGCTGGAACCATTAAGTCTGATCTTACTTGAATCATGCGTCACTATGTTAGTGAATTTTTAAGTAGAATGTGTTAGCATTTAGGATCTTACAACATGGTGCAAGGACAATAGACCTATATATGTCACATAAACTAGGGATTTAACTATAAGACAAAAAGAATCTGGACATTTCATTAATACCACCAACAAGGTGAACCTATATAATAGGAATTCTTGTACAAAATAACAATACAACAATCTTGTAATCAACACTCAATCAATAATATACATCAATTTATTTTACAAGTAGTATGTGAATCTAGAGGCAATGTTTTACACTACTTTCTTTTTCGAAGAACCCTCAGATATAGTATTTTTTTTCCTCATTTCTTAAATGCTTAATATAAAAACAAGGACAGAACTTAGAACTAAATTTCTGGATAAATTAATGTTCTCAAACAGAAACTTTCCCCATCTCCGATGTTGTAAAATATAATTTGGATAACATGGCAGTTTGGATAATTGACGAGGCCCTTTTTTTAGAGAAAGAAATAGAGCTTTAATTTCTATGTTGTTTAATTTGTATATAAATATTCACTCAATATATCATCTTGCCATGTATAGGACACAACAATATTTACTCAGTTTAATTTAATATTAACTTAGTTTGTTATCCTTTCTATTGTTATGCTTTCCTTAATGCTGACATTGATACATGTTTAGGAATGTAGGATTAGGTGTAATTTGAGTTACATGGACTACGAGATTTGACAAGTCATCAAAAAATAACAATTTTTTTACCAAATTTGTCATGGTCATCAGTTTAGGTATGGACTACTAGATTTGTACCTGTATGTGGGAGAGTTTTTATTTTTCCTGCATGTGGATAAGTGAATGTTGACCCAAGGGAACAACAAGATGGATGATTTGATGCTCATGGATTTTCTTTGTTATGTTTTTATTTTTTATTTTTTATTTGTATATTTTGTCTTAGTTAAATCTAAATCACATTTCATTTTTCTATTTCAACGAATAGGCTCTTAACAAAATTATAGAATTCATGAGTTAATTTTTTAAATTAATTGATGGGACTTAAGGCTTGGTTTGGTTTGGTAATTGATTTTTAAATTCATGAGTTAATTGGTTTGAATTTGTATTATCATACTGTTCAAGCTTTAATTAATCTCATTAGCAAAAGTCTTTGTATTTTCTTAGAATTCTCTGATTGGTTGTTGAGAGTTTCATTGTTCTAGGTTAGTTTAACTGGATATCTTTATGTATTCAGATTCAAATTATTATTTACTAAATTTGATATTTTAAATTGAAGTGGGTCATAATTGATAGATTTTACTGCGAGAGACAATAAATTTGACGAAAAATTATTGACCGTGCCATAAGGCGTGCGCGCGCGCGCACACACACACACACACACACAACCTCTTTGTAAGTGATGATAATGGCAATTTTTTGTGAATTTCGTTGAGGGTTTTTGTCTTTGGGATTGTGCTTTGTACATAATTTAGTTGTATTTTGATTGTCCTTTTCTTTATGGTTATGTATACCTCATTTGCTGTTTCAAGTCTCAGTTTAGGTGTACGGTCAAAAGATTGCATATTTTTATTAACTGGTTTTACTTGCTTTGGTTTTAGCTATGTTGTGGTTCACTTTCCCACATTTTATCTTGGTAATTTTTTTTATTCTCTGGATGGGTTTGGGGATGGCTTGAGCCATATAAGAAACTTGAAAACTCTAAATGTTTAGGGAGGCAATTCATTTTGTAGAAGACAATACAAGAAATTAGAAAATGGGAGAATGATTTGATACAGTTGTAATTAGGTGGCATCTTCATTTTGTTTCTATGTAAAACATTTGATTTTATTTGTGAAGTGATGATTGGTCCTATATATCAAAGTAAAAAATTGATTTTGCTTGCGGGATTATTGTTCAGATTCATTTTTTCCTTCCAAATTATTTTTAGTATTTGTTGTGGTCAATACAAGCTATGCATTTCATATCATCTCTATTTTTTTTTTTCCTCAATTAATTTGTCATCATGCAATTTATCGTGTGTTGCTTCATGCATTGTTGGGAATTTAAAATTGTGGCATCATCATGTCTTTCAAATATTACAAATATTGTGTTTTATAGTAATGATGACACAAATTTTTGATTTTTTCTTGAATTTTGCAATGAATAGTTTGTGTTTTTTAGGGCTTTTTAATTTTATTTTTATTATTTGATCTATTTACAGAGCTTAGATAATTGAAAAAAATGGCGAGTTCATCAATGCGTGTTCTATGTTTAGAGAGGTTTGTCTAATTTATATTTTTGCTGTTGTTGAAATTTGCTCCCCAGTTCAACTAGGAAGACTTCTATACAAGGGTTATCATTTTATTGATAGGTTTCACTATGTAAAACCTGTGTAAACTTATCTCTTACATTCATGTTTAGAATCTTTGCTTAATGCTATTTTTCATGTGTGTTTCGGTCAATGATGGGGTCAAAATTATGCTTACCACTGATATACTCAGAGCTATCAGAGTTTTGTGCTGAAAGAAAGGGATTAATTACAAAACAAATTGAAAGAAGATTATTTGTTGCTATGACAATGTTCAAACCAAACCAAACCAAATTCAACCAAGCCTTTAGTCCCATTGCTATGATAATGTCATTGCAAAAAATTGTGAAACATGCAATTATCACTCTTAAACATGGGTTTGTTGAGTTTTTTTGGTATTGTTCAAATTGAAACCAAAAAATCATCTGATTCAATAATATTATATTAAGCTATTCATGCATTTGTTATTGTTATTCAAATTATTTTTATTACTGCAATGAGTTCATTTTGTTGTCAAATTAAAGTTGCTTTTAAAGAATCATTTTGTTGATTTCTCATATGTATTTTGATACGATTTCTCATAGCTAATGGGTTTTTTAAAGTGAATTTAAGCAAGTGATTTTGTTGCAGGTGACTGATCCGTATTAGAAACGTTGGATTACGTTGCTTCTCTTTATGTGTGTAGTTGGTTGGCTCTCATTCTAAACGGATGATTAATTATTATATTTTTTAGTTGGATAAGATGATTACTCTTTTGTACCAAAATATTCGTTCACCTTTTCTTGAAGGTATTGAAATTTGATAAAGTGAAAAAGTTACCAGTTATGATGCTAATTCAGTAATATCCTTTTATTGAATGTTTCCTATACATGTGTCATTTTGACATGGATTGAATTCTAAAATTTGTTGTTTGGACTTGAAGTTTAGCAAAGATTTTAAGATTCTATTATTTGCTTATGCTACACTGTAATATAAAATTCATTATTTGGATTGTAATTTTGAAGTTTGTTATTTGAAATTCATGAATATTTTTGCCAGTTTACTGTGTAGAAACAATTTCAACTTCTTATTTGTGAAGTATAAAGCTGGAGTGAAGTATTTAGTGTTATTACAATTAAATTTCATAGCACGTGTGGTACCAAAAAAATTATATATATAAAATAAAGAATTAAAAATTACCTCTCTCTCTCCGTTAATAGCTTTCATCTAACTATTGACATTTTTAACATCTTTGCTAAGAGTTTCTTTGAGAAAGAAGGAAAAAATTTGAAACCAGTCACCAATAGGGCCCTCAAATCAATTATCAAATATTGTGTAGAATAATTCATTTAGGGTCTCTAACATAGAGTAGTTTTGGGAACATGGTAATAAACCGCATTCAATGGTCAAATATTGTGTAAAATAATTCGTTTAAGATCTCTAACATAGAGTAGTTTTGGAAACATGGTAATAATCCGTGTCCGACCGTTGAACGCAGACGCCAGACGCTGGCTGCTTTTGCTAAAATTGATTTGGGATTGTGGTTATAAGCCACAGGTGAAATTATGGAACTACCCTCCTTTTTTTTGTGGAACCATCAGCTTAGAAATTAGGTACATGGGTGAAAATGTATATTTTGTAGATTGGATGGGAGCATTTTGATCAATTTATATTTAGCCATGCTGATGTGACAATATAAACAAATATTAAGCAAAAAAACAACATTTTACCAACTTCTTAAATAAATTTCTGAAAAAGCTAAAAAACTTGATTAAAAGTCAAAAAATAACTTTGTACCATTTTCTCAAAACACCCCATAGTTGTTGAGATAGATCAAGAACCTTGAATCTTTCCTGGTGCCCCTTTGCCCATTCATAAAGTACTGTAATGCTTTCACAATGCTATCCCACAATAAACATGTAACTAAATGAAAGCAAATCATGGTACAACACTAACTGAAAGAATCATCTCAATTGAATTCAATTCATGTCTTCATTGCAGGCCTCACCAGCCCCAAACCAGAACCACTACCCAAATGCTTGAAATCAGTTGCTACTAAATGATCCCCCCATGGCCAGCAAAGCCTGTCCCTCCTTTTCCCAACTGAACCAAATTCCTCTCTTTACATCCCTTGTTGCATACCAAACAAATCTTATTGACAGCCATGAACTTATCAACACACTGCTTGCAAAACACATGTCCACAAGAACTTGAAGCCACAAGCGAGAGTGTATTGGTAAGAGTGACCTTGCAGCTGGGACATATATGGGTCATCTCAAGAGAATGTGATTTCTTTTCATCATGTTTGTCATCAGTGAAGTAAATTGGGAAGAGGGTTTTCAATTTCAGGTTTTCTTGGCCTTCTGGGCATATAGTACTGGTGGATGGGGCTTCGACCTTAGCAGGAGCTTCTGGTGTGGCAGAGGGAAGCCAGAATGCTTTCATTGTTCGGAGTGCTTCTTCCTCATAAGAGGTGGCCTTCACGCTGTTTGCACCGTGAAAGCCATTCTTGTCCTTGTTATGGTTCTTATCACTATATTGTGGCATTGCGTCATGGTTTTGCTGATCAAATGCATCAAGCTCTCTGGCTTTCTGCAGCAGTAACTTCTCTTTTTCCTCTTCTTTTTCTTGCTTCTGCCGAGCTGTATGTGCAGCTAGCTTCCTGCCAAACAACGTAAAACTTTTCAGTGGGGCAATGACAAACAAATAATAAACTACATGGATGAATCATTACTTAGTGTGACAAACAGGTAAACATAGAATGGTGCCACAAGGAAAACAAGGAATGTCACCAACACAAGCTATTGGATGTGTGAGGTGGTAACTATATTGTAGGGCAATTATTACTTCACGCCTTCCTTTGGAAAGCATTAAACGTAATTTTTAACTTCTAAAATTCCAATAGCATAAATATTTACTGAAGAGGTAATTGGATCCTACTTGTAGCTGGCCCCAAATAATTGGGACACGGCTTTATTGAGTTGAGTAGTGAATGGATCATATGTTGCCCAGTTGAAGCCAACTCCCCCAGAAATTTGTTCTAACAATTCATCAATAGGAGGGAATCTACAATTTCAAAAAGTAAGGGGGCACTTTGCATTTAGGCTAAACCCTGAATCGACGCTAGTGTAATTTATTTACTCTTTTTTTTTTCTTTTTTTTTCTTTTTTTGATTTGATAAATAACAGTGTAATTTATTTACTCTAAATTCTATTGTATCAAAAAGCTAAGAAATCCTTTTCTACATTTTATATGTTGAAAAAAAAGTGTTAGTAAAATGTCCTAATATTTATTTTGAAAAGTTCTCTCTCTAAAGAAATTGAAAAATTTAAGGTTTTAGGGCTTCTAAAATTAGAAGATATAAAAGGAGGAGAGCTTAATAGGTATTGCATTTGTAGTATTCATAACTACTCTGGGACTGTTTGTTACTGTTTTGGGGGATAATTATAGCTTATTTTGAATTGCGAGTATGTGTTAAACTGTTTGGTACAGCTTCTGCTTAAAACTTATTACGCAAAAATAACTTAAATAAACTGAAAAAGTTAATTATTTGAAAGGTAAGATAGGAATACTCTTAGCTTCTACTTTCTGATTAACAATTTTTAACTTAAAAAAATTCTACCAAGCAGAGCCTATATCACATTCACACCCAAAGGCACAATTTCTGAGCATACCCATCACAAATTCAAAATTTCTACAAATAAGAACGGGTAAATTAAAAATACACCCGCTTAAAATACGGATTACCACATGTAATTCTAAAAATTAAAAATACACCCGGCTTAAAATACAAATTGCCACATTTGATTCTAAAAATTAGAAATACACCTACTTAAAATACGGGTGACATTGTCACATGTGGTTCTAAAAATTATAAATACACCCTGCTTAAAATACGAATTGCCACATGTACTTTAAAAATTATAAACACTTCATTATCATAATTTTTTATTGAACATAATTAACAGAGCAAAATAAAATTTTTAACTACTCTCCTATAAAATAATAAAACTATATGAATTATTAATTGAAATATTTCTGACATCATTAAAAACTGTTAATTAACTTTATAATTTATTAATAAAAAACATTATTTTCCATGCAAAGTGGAATGTAATTTCTAAAATTATAAAAATAATTTATATTCTAAGCAAATTTCAAAGTACATTTATAATTTACCCAATACAAAAACAAAAAACTTTACACAAAAAAACCCCCTTTATAACTTCAATTAAAACCCCAAAACCCATTCATTCAGTCACAAATCATGAAATGTAGATTAGTCCCAACAACAACAAAATTTGCCACAGAACTCAAATGACAATACATAAAAGTTCAATTTTTAACCCATTAAAGTAATTCAATCAATATGCAGATCCCAAATTTGATAAAATTCAAAGCATCAAAATAATAAGCACAGAAACCATTGACAGACCTTTGAACGTCTTTCTTCTGAGCCAACAAGCACTCGAGAATGCATTCTTTGCAAAAGTCGTGGCCTTTATGGCAACACAAAGGGTCGATTAAGGGCTTCAAGCAGAGGCAACAAGCGTCGAATGGCTTGATCGAGTCTTTGCCGAGCCTTTCCTTCTGAGTTCCGTACCCTAGCTTTCGGTTCTCATTGTAGGTGAAGAATGCGAGGTCGTTGTTGTTCTTCGAGTGTCTCTTAGGCATTTCTTGGATCAAAGATATCAAAACCCCTTATTGGCTGAATTGAATTGGATTGAATTGAATAAAGAAGTTGAATAGATAGAGAGCAATATGTTGTTGATTATTGGGAACCCTAGAAATCCACAGTGCCAATCTATCTAAATTACACTTACGTCTTCATGTTTACCTTAATTACAGATACTTCTCTTGTGATTTTTAAAATTACATAAATTTTCCTTACAAATTCCTTCTTTCCATTAGAAGAGCCTTAATGACGTTAAGTTGACAGTGAAATTGACCATAATACAAAGAACTAAAAAAGAGAGAGCGCGCTCACATGAAATCCTCCTCCATATCAAGTAAGGTTGTAAAAAGAGACTTTGGAGGGAAAGTTAACAGTTGTTGAAAAATTAGATACAAACAGTTAGAAGGGGTGTATTGTTTTATAAAGGATGTGAAGGGTATTTTAGGCATTTGTGTATTTATTATAACTGATGTCACTATTTTGGTTTAATTTAGTAACATCCTTCTAATAGAAGTGAGAATTTGACTATTATTTTCAAAAACAAGAGAAGTCTGTGTAATTTTTGAAACCACAAGGAAGGTATTTGTAATTAAGACAAACTTCAATAGAGGTAAGTGTAATTTATCCTACTATATAAAGAAGATTGGGATTTTTAACACACAAGCCTTGTGGGAGATCTAAGTTCTCAATCTAAGGCCTCGTTTGGGGACTAACTATTTTAGCCGAAAAGTCAAAAAGCCAACTAAAACTAGTCACATCACTTCTCTACTTTTCTGCACTTCTTTTCATAAAAAGTCAAAAAATTACTAAAATAGCCTGTTCCCAAACGAGGCCTAAATTTCATAATTTTTTAATTTTAAAAAATTTAAAAAAAATTCATTTGACTACCTCTTCTTCAAGCAAAAATAAATAAATATATTAATAAATAAATAATATTGTTTAATTTATGACTTTCAAGTAGAAAATATATCAAGTTTTAAAAAATTGAAAAGTTTATTAACACATTTCAAAATTCAAATTGGAGGGTCACTAAATATGGAAATTAATCTATTAATTTAAAATTAAAATTTTTACAATATAAATTTAAAATTATAATGATTTATCCCAAGATTTACAAGTTTTAAATACAAATTTAAAATTATCATATTTAGCTCATAACTTTTGTATTTAGGAACAATAAGAGTAATATTGAAATTATTTATATATTTTATAAAAGAATATTTTTAAGAAGAGCTATTATGAGAGTTTTAAAATCTCATTTAAAATCTATATACTATTATAATTGAAAAACGGCCTTGTTTGGTTTGTTTCTCAGCAAATTTTTTGAGAAAAATTCTCTACAAACAAATTTTCAAGCATAATCAAACCAAACAAATTTTTTCAAAAAAAATCTCAAAATTTTGTTTAGTTACATACTTTCCAAAATCATTCTCTCTCTCTCATATACATCAAATCAATTACTTTTTTAAAAACTCTCTCCCCAAAACAATTTTCCAAAATCATTTCTGAAAAAAGGCAAACCAAACAAGTTTTCGTACTTTTTATCTCAAAAACTACTCTACAAGTTATCATCCTATTAAAGCTTAAAGTTGCAATTCTTTTTTATTTTTTTATTTTGTTTAATTTTTGTTAATTTGTGTCACAATATGATTGGTTTATAAATTAATTTTATATTCTTAAAATAAAATTTTAAATTTAGATTCTTCCTTAAATTATGTTATTAGAATATGATCAATATTCATTCCTTAATTTATGCATCTTTTATTAAATTATAAAATAAAAATTTAAATTCTTTTTTAAATTATGTTATTATAATTAGAATGAGATCAATATTCACATATGTCATAATGATGTGCCATAATATTATTGGTCTAAACATAATATGTTAATAAATACACGTATTCAAATTATTAATCACTATTAAAAGTTTATATTTTTATTTTTTGTCATTTTTGGTTTTAAATTTTATAATTTTTTTTATATCCTTCTAAACTACAAGGATTTAAACAATAATTTTTTTTAATACAAATATTTTTTTTTTACAAAAGACAAAAATATTAAGAAAATAAATGAACTTTTTAACAATTGTCAAACATAATGGATTCTATTAATTCTTTTTTTAATCTCATTTGTCAATTAAAAAAATTAAAATAAAAAAAAAAAAAAAGAACGACAAAAATACGCCTCATTAAAAAAAAAAACAGAAATTACTATTTGCCACGTAATTACAAATAAATAAAACACATGAAAACCTATTTTTGAAATATAAAAACAAATTAATGTGTACAAATTAAAAAATGACAAAAACGTAAATTAAAAAAAAATAACGAGAAAAATACGCCTCATTCAAAAATATTTAAAAAAAAACATAAAAACATAAATTACCATTCGCCACGTAATTTACAAATAAATGAAACACATAAATAAAAAAAAAAAGTTATTGTATACCAATAAAAATAAAGAACAAGAACTAATTAATGTAAAAAAAAAAAAAAAAAAACAAAGACAAAAACGTAAATTTAAAAACAAATTCGAAAAATTTAAGCACAACATGCCAAATCCAAACCCAAAATAAAAAAAAATAAAAGAAAAAAAAATTTAAGCAAAATACGTCAAATCCAAACCCAAAATTAAAAAATTTAAAAAAAAGAGCAAAATATGCCAAATCCAAACCCAAAATAAAAAAAAAATTTAACAAAAATTTAAGCAAAATACGCCAAATCCAAACCCAAAAAAAATAAATAAATAAAGAAAAATTTAAGCAAAATACGCCAAATCCAAACCTAACATAAAAAAAAATAAAAAATAAAAAAAAACCAAAATATGCCAAATCCAAACCGAAAATAAAAAAATAAAAAAAACATTTAAGCAAAATTCGCCAAATCCAAACCCAAAATAAAAAAAAAAATAAAATAAGAAATAACAATTCCAGTATAAATTTTATAAATATTAATAATTAAAATTCTAAATTTTTCTCAGAAATGACATCATGTAATTGAATCATGTGATTTTGTCATGTAATAATTTTTGCAAAAATTTCTACCTATGAAAATAAAATTTTATTGAGACAAATATCTAAACAATATATTTTTTTGGCTAAATATGAAAGATAATTTGTAATCAAAATAGAGATAATTCTTGATAAATTCATATTCCCAACCTTATAAGTCAGCGGCTACAATGGATGAATCTTTTGGGGGCATAAGGATCACTTTTATTAAATTTGTTGGTCAAAAGTCTATTAACAGAGTTAGTTTCATAAATATGACATATCTGTTCAAATTTTTATTTTAACCTTTTTGTTCAATTTTTTTGAACTTATCTGTTCAAATATATATATATATATATATTTACTCAGATTTTTTATTTCATTTGTTCAATTCTTTGAACTTATTTGTTCAAATTTTTATTTTATCTGTTTAATTTTTTTGTATCTATCCAAATTATTTTAACTTATTTGTTCAAATTTTTTATATTTGTTTAAACAACAATTGGCCTACGCTTCTCACTCAACTCTCTCTCTCTCTCTCTCTCTCATGCATTCTCTCTCCTAGAATTAGGGTTTACAGAAAGAATTTGTCTTATACGAGCGTATATCTTGCTTGATATCTCTATCTCTAGATGAATCCAACAAAGAAGTGAAAGCTCGATGAAATAGCGTTGCACTGCCGGACTTCAACGCCGAAGCGAACCAACTCACCCTCGACAACACTCGTAAGATCATCGAACCCTTCACTCACAAACAACTCTTCGAGATCATAAAAACACTATTGTTTGCCACCTCGACGTTTTCGACGCCGTCCGATTAGTTGTTAATTGCGACCCAACTGAGTGAAAGCTCTTCATTCATGGTCTCAGTTGAGACACCACAATCGAGAAGCTTCACTCTCTTTTCTTTGCATACGGTGTTGGAATTTTTGGTTTTTTATAGGCTTATTTTGTGCCAACTTTGAGCCCAAATTTGAGTGGGTCCTAAACGTCTTTTGGGGTGGGTCCAAAGACGTGACGTGTTTCTTGCCGCATGGCAAGTCACGCGGTGAAGACAGTTCATCAAAACCATTTATGAGTGAATGAGAACTTGACGTTGTTTTCGGGTTCGTGGAATAGGAAATTGAAGAAATAAAATGTGGGTTTCCTTGAATTGGTTATCCCACATTGGAAACTTAAGAGAACTTATGTGTGTATATAAGTTCTAGGTGACAACACTTGAATTGGACCTCAAAGGGCACCCTAAGTTTGTAAAAGAGAGGAGTTATGGACATATTGGACCTTGGCTCAAACCACCACACGCGCGCGCGCTGCCGCTGCAGCAGCCCGTCTGGTCGGGCGTGTCAGGCTCGGGTGTGGGTTATAAGTCTGGTTGGTTCTAACATTAATTTTTTTAACAAAATTTATTTGAATTTTTTCAAATTATTGCAGGAAATTATTTGAATTTCAAATTGAAATTAATTCAAAATTGAATTCAAATTTTTTGTCCAAAAATTGTGCCTCTTTCAAGTCCAAATTCCACAACAGAAATTATTTCTGTGATTTTACAAAATAATATTCTGGTTGGAAAAATAAATAGTAGTAATATTCTGTTTGACAAATAGTAGTAATATACTGTTTATTTTCTTTGACAACTAGTAGTAATATACTGGTATCATTAACAATTCAGAATTTTTATTTGTGAAGTTGGTCAGAAATTAATATTGGTTTTCAGAAATATTTTCTAAGTGTTCATTAATTAAAATTCTGTTTTCAGTATTTTAATTTGTGAAGTGTTACAGAAATGTTTTTCTATGTGGAATTAATTTGTTTAAATAAAATTTTATTTTATTTTCAAATTAATTGAAAATAAAAGTTATGATTCTTGTTTCTTTTATTTTTTCAGAATTCAATTATGTGTTTTGGTTTAATTTTCTGTGTAGTATAAAATTCTAATTATAATTTTGTTTTATAATTTAGAATTCATGGCTACTGAAAACTGGTCAAACTAATTCTCAAACAAGTACTAGTATGGTGGCTGCAATTACGCCAACCCCTCCTCTTGTTGTGACTGTGCCAGTCAATCACGATGAGAAGCTACAGAAGTTCTCAAGAATTGATTTTAAAAGATGGCAACAGAAAATGCTGTTCTAT